TCTAAAGTAAGGCCATGGTAAGTGGGAAGATTGTGGTTGGTTTTATTTAGTGTGTCTAAAAAAAAGGCCATGGTAAGTGGGAAGATTGTGGTTGATTTTATTTAGTTTGTCTAAAGAAAGGCCATGGTAAGTGGGAAGATTGTGGTTGGTTTTATTTAGTTTGTCTAAAGAAAGGCCATGGTAAGTGGGAAGGTTGTGGTTGGTTTTATTTATTGTGTCTAAAGTAAGGCCATGGTAAGTGGGAAAGTGATATATATAAATTACTGGCTGAGTTGTCGGGAAGTAATTTTCACATTCACCATTGTGATGTTTTTAACACTTATGAGCCAGTCCACCTTCAAGTAATCTTTAGTGTATATTGTGACAGTGGTGATATTTTGGAAGCATCTCAGTATTTGTAGATCAATATTTAATTTTTGTTTTAAAATAACATTGTTTTTCATGCTGTCATTAAGTTGAAGTCTAAGATATAAGTTATTACCTTTGAATATATTTGTTAAAGATTCTGGCCCAAAAACATGTGATGGAATATTGCTGTTATCATTATTTTAATGTGTAATTTAATTTAAAACTGATGATTGAATTCAGACACCCTGTATTTTTAAAGTTATGGATATGACAGACATTTAATTAATTTACTTTTTTTACAGGCAATTGCAGCATGTGCTTTGTTTTTGGCTGCAAAAGTAGAGGAACAACCTCGTAAATTGGAGCATGTCATTAAAGTTGCTCATATGTGTCTCCATCGAGATGCTCCACCATTGGATACAAAAAGTGAGGTGTGTTGCAGGTTTTATAACAAACCTTCTGATTGGTTGTGCAGAATATTATAACAAACCATCTGATTTGCTGTACGGAATATTATAACAAATTTTCTGATTGGTTATACAGAATGGGATACTTGTGTTAGAATCAGTTCTTCTCAAGGGGATAAGAAGATATCTAACTGGGATAACTGATTATTAACCCTTTCTTTTATTGTGTTCAGTTGATTACATGAAATCCTAAGTGGCTTCCTGAAATTTATAGAAAATATTTCCATAGTTTTGGATTCGTCAAAAAAAAAACAAATTTTTTTCATGTAATTACTGTTGTGTCATTACTTTTCTATTGCTAACACTGAGAACACAGAAATTGTCAAAATTTTTATGTAACAGTTTGAAACTTTAGTGATAGCCTGTTGACATTTTCAAAGATTATCTCTCTATATCTATACAAATATCTCAGCGACTTTGGTACAAAGATTGTTTATGTGTCTACACAGATATTTCATGATAATCTGCTGACTTTGTGACATAGGTTATTTACTTACTATCATGAGATAACCTATCAACATTTAGATTGTTTCTATGTCTACACAGATTATTTACCTACTTAGACATAGAAACAATCTAAATGTTGATAGGTTATCTCATGATTAAATGTTGATAGGTTATCTCATGATAGTAGGTAAATAATCTATGATAAAGTATGATCTGATACAGACAGACATAGCACTTGAGATGAGAAATGGATAAAGTATGACCTGATACAGACAAACATATCACTTGAGATCAGAAATGGATAAAGTATGACCTGATACAAACAGACATATCACTTGAGATCAGAAATGGATAAAGTATGACCTGATACAGACAGACATATCACTTGAGATCAGAAATGGATAAAGTATGACCTGATACAGACAGACATATCACTTGAGATCAGAAATGGATAAAGTATGACCTGATAACAAATAGACATATCACTTGAGATCAGAAATGTATAAAGTATAACCTGATAACAGATAGACATATCACTTGAGATCAGAAATGTATAAAGTATGACCTGATACAGACACATATCACTTGAGATCAGAAATGTATAAAGTATAACCTGATAACAAATAGACATATCACTTGAGATCAGAAATGTATAAAGTATAACCTGATAACAGATAGACATATCACTTTAGATAAGAAATGAATAAAGTATAACCTGATAACAGACAGACATATCAACTTCTGATGGAGTGATTGTATTATTTAAAGGTTACCATAATTACTGAACTCACCCAATGCACACTGGTTACTACTAAGTAACAAACTGAAAACATGAACATTTCCTTGAACCTGGAGTAACCAATGTGATACAAAGATTTATCAAAACCACTTCCAAATTGTTTTCATTTTTAATGCTAATTAAAAAAAATATTTTAAGTGTTCACAGTATGACCTCTACTGACAATTCCAATTGTAAAACATCAGTCTGATGAGGATATGAACCATATCAATAGATCATCTTGATAACAAATAATCTATGTCCCAAAGTCACAAGGGTATCCTGAGATATCTCTGTAGACATGAAGAAATAATCAAAATATTGATCGATTATCTCATGATAGCAGGTAAATAATCTGTCTAGACATAGAAACAATCTAAATGTTGATAGGTTATCTCATGATAGCAGGTAAATAATCTGTGTAGACATAGAAACAATAACATTTCTCATCTCAAGTGATATGTCTATCTGTTATCAGGTTATACTTTATACATTTCTGATCTCAAGTGATATGTCTGTCTGTATCAGGTCATACTTTATCCATTTCTGATCTCAAGTGATATGTCTGTCTGTATCAGGTCATACTTTATCCATTTCTGATCTCAAGTGATATGTCTGTCTGTATCAGTTTATACTTTATCCATTTCTGATCTCAAGTGATATGTCTATTTGTTATCAGGTCATACTTTATCCATTTCTGATCTCAAGTGATATGTCTATTTGTTATCAGGTCACACTTTATCCATTTCTCATCTCAAGTGATATGTCTGTCTGTATCAGGTCATACTTTATCCATTTCTCATCTCAAGTGATATGTCTGTCTGTATCAGGTCATACTTTATCCATTTCTCATCTCAAGTGATATGTCTGTCTGTATCAGGTCATACTTTATTCATTTCTTATCTCAAGTGATATGTTTGTCTGTATCAGGTCATACTTTATCCATTTCTTATCTCAAGTGATATGTCTGTCTGTATCAGGTCATACTTTATCCATTTCTTATCTCAAGTGATATGTCTGTCTGTATCAGGTCATACTTTATTCATTTCTTATCTCAAGTGATATGTCTATCTGTATCAGGTCATACTTTATCCATTTCTTATCTCAAGTGATATGTCTGTCTGTATCAGGTCCTACTTTATCCATTTCTCATCTCAAGTGATATGTTTGTCTGTATGAGGTCATACTTTATTCATTTCTCATCTCAAATAATAGGTTTAGTGAAGCTGTTGTCAAAAATTAATAAACTAATATAAGTTGTATAACACAACATCTAATATTTAGATAGTTACATACATTGAGCATTGGTTTATTACAAGCTCCAAAATGAGTAGTAATTGAGGGAGATTATTTTACTATGCCTAACAATGAAACATTTGCTACATTTTGAGGACAGAAGTTTGAACCTGAGAAGTATATTGCTTGTTCTGTTCTCTGTTTAAGAATGCCACCCCGGTGACACAGCAGTATGTCTGCTGACTTACAATGTTAGAAACAGGGTTTTGATACCTGTGGTGGGCAAAGCACAGATAGCCCATTATGTTGTTTTGTGCTTAACTACAAACAACTGTTTAAAAATACCCTTTTGTTAATGTACATAATTTTATGGCTGTAAATTGATAATTATCACAAAATAACTATCCGTTTGTTAATGTTATTATTTTTTCTTTTTTAAGACGTATATGGAGCAAGCCCATGAACTTGTCTGCAATGAAAATATATTACTACAAACATTAGGTAAGTAGTTAGTTCAGACGTGAGTGTTCTTGACCTCACTAATTACTTTGGGGTATAATCTGTCTTAAAGAAAACCCTTATTATGGTCAGTCTTGTGTGGCTAGTTATCTTTATGTCTATAAATATATCTTTAAGTAGAGGTATGTTTCAGGTAAACTCTTTTGAAAAATTTATGAATAGGTGATATGCGTGTTAAAAGTAATACAAGATATCAACTAAGGTATTAATTATTTACAGTACAACAATATCTTTTAATGACTGGTTTTATTCATAGAAAAATAAACTCATTTGATCAGTAGTGTTGTTCAACTAGTCTGATTATCACATTTTACAGTTGAAGAACACTAAACTGAATGATCTGATTATCACATTTTACAGTTGAAGAACACTAAACTGAATGATCTGATTATCACATTTTACAGTTGAAGAACACTAAACTGAATGATCTGAGTATGACATTTTACAGTTGAAGAACACTAAACTGAATGATCTGAGCATCACATTTTACAGTTGAAGAACACTAAACTGAATGATCTGAGTATCACATTTTACAATTGAAAAACACTAAACTGAATGATCTGAGTATCACATTTTACAATTGAAAAACACTAAACTCAATGATCTGAGTATGACATTTTACAGTTGAAAAACACTAAACTGAATGATCTGAGTATCACATTTTACAGTTGAAGAACACTAAACTGAATGATCTGAGTATCACATTTTACAGTTGAAGAACACTAAACTGAATGATCTGTATGTCACATTTTACAATTGAAAAACACTAAACTGAATGATCTGAGTATGACATTTTACAGTTGAAAAACACTAAACTGAGTGATCTGAGTATGACATTTTACAGTTGAAAAACACTAAACTGAATGATCTGAGTATCACATTTTACAGTTGAAGAACACTAAACTGAATGATCTGTATGTCACATTTTACAATTGAAAAACACTAAACTCTATGATAGAGCTTTGTAATAAATTAGTGTCATGTAAAAGAGTCAATTAATTGAAATAACAGTTAGGTTGATTAATGTTAGGAAATGAATAAGCTAATCAGAACTAGTGTTTTCAGTTATTCTAAATATCCAAGTAATTAAAATAATGCCATTGTGATTTTTTCACTATTATTTTCAATTAATTGAAGTTTGTTCGGCTTAATTAATTAGTGTCACAGCTGACAAAAATAATCAGCTAATTGAAATTAATGTTCCTAATTCTTCTAACCATCCAAGTTGTATGTGAGAGTGATTGATTAGTTGATTGTAATCTATTATCAGATTCCACAACTTGATGAGCTATATTGAGCAAGAGTATATACCATATTACATTAAAAAAATATGTTTCTGGAAATATTGGAGACATTTCTATGTATGCCGAGAGTTGTCAGTTGTTTACCCAATACATTTGAGAGCTTTAATGAGCAGAAGAAAGGCTAAATAAATTATATAGTATTTTTGTCGGTAATCAGACTCGCTTGAAGTGAGATATGTAGCATAAGAAATACTTTTATCACATCTGTGAACAAAAAGATGCATAAAGCATTTGATGGTAAGAAATGGTGCTGATTTATCAACACTAACATTAAAAGATTTTATTGTTAATTTGTAACTGTGCAAGCTTCAATATTTGATGAGATTGATGTTATGATAAATACCCAAAACTTAGTCCAAAGAACCAAGAAAGTTTATTGTTCTGGATGGAACTTGTTGAAGTATTTTTCCCTTCTCCCTTCCAGTAAAGAAAAAGTTAGTATTAACAGAAGAAACTTAAAAGAATTGTTTGTTATTGGATATTATGTTAAAAAAAAGTATACTACTAAAATTTGGCTTAGTAAATTAAAACTGTATGTATAAATTTTGTATTTTAAAAACCAACAGACAGCTATTAATCATCTCAAAATGTATGTCATTATATGAAAGTGGTTACTGTTTGACTACAAGGTGAAAAAATTATGTATCATGAAGTATGATAGTGGTTCATAATAGGGTTCCCCGGGAATTTCACAAAAATTCTAATAGAACATACAAGCAAAAACCATATTAAAAATCAGACCTGTTCTTGAAACAACACTCAAGACCTATCACAATGGCTAAGGCTGCTAAAATATTGATAATAGCAAAAAAATTGATTTTCTGATTGTCAGGCAAAATTCAGAATTCATCCATTTGTTCTTCGTATTATTATTATTCATGTTATTCTTGCATCACATAAAATGGCTATCAATATTTTATTTCAACCTGGCAAACCTACTAAAAAACTACAGGTCATAGGATTATTTTTTATGTTGATTTTTGAAAGAGAAGGAGATACAAGTTTTTTTCATTGCTGCTGGCCAACTGAAGCATACAGGAAAAATGGTTAGGTATACTGTGTCAGAGTTTGTGCACAGCTACTAAACAAACTCCTGCTAAGGTTGTAGGGCTATTTCTAATTACTTCTTTGCTACCAACATAAGTTCTTCAAAGCCATTCAAGCATCACAGAAATGTAGTACCCACTTAAGCATTGTTACACTAGTCAGAAATGTTTTGTTTTATTACAGAAAATATAACTCAACTCTAACATTATTTCCATCTGTTCAGAGAGCAAACTTCTGCCAGTATAGATGGCTTATGTGTAAAGGTTTAATAAAAAACAAATCATACAGAATCACATGAAAATAGTTGATTATTTATTTATTTAAGCAAGTACGAAAGTTGTATTTATTAAAATTATTCATTACTGTGCATTTGAAAATTAAAACTGAAATATCAAAAGCTTCAACAATTTTTATTCAGACCATCTTTTTTTTTAAATATTTGTAATGTGTACATAAGATGAATCAGGATGCATTTGAAACATATAGTAATATTTCTAACCTGAATTGTAGGTTTTGAGATTGGAATTGACCATCCTCACACCTACGTAGTCAAATGTTGCCAGCTGGTTAAAGGTGAGTGGTTGAAAAACAAAATGCTTTAATGTCTTTCTTTATTTTGTTCAATCATTTTGAAATAAGCTGTTTTTAGCCAGATTAATTTCTTAAGGAAAAACAAAAAAGTTATGTTGAGCTTGTATTTAGTACTTGGATGGTCTTTAACTATGTTTAGATAAACGACTCTTATAATACCAGGTTTATTCTCAGATACAAAATAAAATTTAATATTTTATTACCTATCTGAATTTGGAAGGGGAATACCATTTCTTTATGGTGGTACAGAATTCCAAATTGTATATCTATTTGTATTGGTGTTTAATGCTCATGAATTTGTCCAGTTTGTCAGACATATTTCTGTTTAAAAGGTTTGTTTTTCTCACTATTTTACTCCAGGAAAACTTTAGGAAAATTGTTTGTAAATTATTATTATAGTATGTAATGTGACACATGATTCACAAATCATTATAGTGTGTAATGTGACACATTATTCTCAGGTCATTATAGTATGTAATGTGATGCATGATTCACAAGTCATTATAGTATGTAATGTGACACATTATTCACAAGTTATTATAGTCTATGATGTGACACATAATCCGCAAGTTCTAATATGTGATGCGACATTTGATTCACAAGTCATAGTACGTGATGTGGCACATGGTTCATAAATCATTATAGTAAATGATGTGACACTTGATTCACAAGTCATTATAGTATGTGATGTGGCACATGATTCACGAGTCATTATAGTGTGTGATGTGACACATTCAAAAGGTATTATAGTGTGTGATGTGGCACGATTCACAAGTCATTATAGTGTGTGATGTGGCACGATTTACAAATCATTATAGTGTGTGATGTGGCATGATTTACAAATCATTATAGTGTGTGATGTGGCATGATTTACAAATCATTATAGTGTGTGATGTGGCACGATTCACAAGTCATTATAGTGTGTGATGTGGCACGATTCACAAGTCATTATAGTGTGTGATGTGGACTATAATGACTTGTGAATCGTGAACATCACACACTATAATGACTTGTGAATCGTGTCACATCACACACTATAAAGATTTGTAAATTGTGCCACATCACACACTATAATGACTTGTGAATCGTGTCACATCACACACTATAAAGATTTGTAAATCATGTGTCACATCACACACTATAAAGATTTGTAAATCATGTGTCACATCACACACTATAATGACTTGTAAATCGTGTCACATCACACACTATAAAGATTTGTAAATCAAATGTAACATCACACACTATAAAGATTTGTATATCAAATGTAACATCACACACTATAAAGATTTGTAAATCAAATGTAACATCACACACTATAATGATTTGTATATCAAATGTAACATCACACACTATAAAGATTTGTAAATCAAATGTAACATCACACACTATAATGACTTGTGAATCGTGTCACATCACACACTATAGATTTGTAAATCATGTGTCACATCACACACTATAAAGATTTGTAAATCATGTGTCACATCACAAACTATAATGACTTGTGAATCGTGTCACATCACAACACATCACACACTATAATGACTTGTGAATCGTGTCACATCACACACTATAATGACTTGTGAATCTTGCCACATCACACACTATAAAGATTTGTAAATTGTGCCACTATAATGACTTGTGAATCGTGGTGTGATGTGGCACGATTCGCAAGTCATTATAGTGTGTGATGTTACATGTGATTCATAACATTTTATAATATGTGATGTGACAAATGATTCCTGAGAGTTTTATAATACAACAGACAATACATAATTTATTATAATATGTAATATAACACTTTATTATTATAGATATTGTTTTGACAGCTTACAGTTCATTTTAACATAAACTGTAGCAAACTAACAACATCCCAGAGTTGTGATATAACTCATGATGCTTTCTCTACTCTATCTTCTTGTGAGATGTTATTCTACCCTCTATATTTATTTGAAATTCATTCATTATTTAAGAGCTTCTTTATATTATCATCATCTTGTCTTATAGAATGTGGCAGTGTGTAGAGAGCTGTGTCAAACAGTTTGATGTAGTTACTGGAACTTAACTTCAGTATTTCTTTCAGGACTGTTTTTGTGATACAAGAGAGTTCATGACACAACACTATGTTGTACGTATTGGAACTTAGTTCCGTAGTGTTTCTTTCATGACTGTTATTGTGACACAAGAGAGTTCATGACATAACACTGATGTAGTTACTGGTACTTAGTTTCAGTGTTTTTTCTTTTGTAACTATTTTTGTGATACAAGAGATTCATGACACAACACTGAAGTTACTGGAATTAGCTTCAGTGTTCTTTTTTTTCACAAATATTTTTGTGATACAGGAGAGTTCACGACATAACATTGATGTAGTTACTGGAACTTAGCTTCAGTGTTTCTTTCAGGGGAGTTACTGGAACTTAGTTCAGTGGTGTTTCTTTCATGACTTATTTTGATACAAGAGGGACTGAACTAAGTTCCAGTAACTCCATCATAGTGTAGTGTCATGAACTCTCTTGTATCAAAATAACAGTCATGAAAGAAACACCACTGAACTAAGTTCCAATAACTCCCCAGTAGTGTAGTGTCATGAACTCTCTTGTATCAAAATAACAGTCATGAAAGAAACACCACTGAACTAAGTTCCAAT